ACAGTTGATGAAAAAGTCAGGTAATAGAATATCACGTGGAGTCTAAACCCACCTCTGAGCAATCAGACCCATGCACCTAGTTACATACACACATACACGTCATGATTCCAACAGCCAGCACTCACTGCACTTCTAAACCTGTGCATTGAATAGGTGTGGGGTTTTCTCTCCATTTTGGAAAGAAGTTCAGTAACTTACCCAAGTTCAGTCCTCTCGAGCTTGACAGGAAGTACACTCTAAACCAAACTGCTAATGGGGTTGCCAAATGGTGTTTTTATTTTCCGCTATGAGTTTTTGTATTGTTCAAATATTTTTTAAATGAGTGTGTCATTTTTACAGAAATAAAGCATTAAAAATAAGACAGGCCTCCTACCATCTAATTTTCTCTAATTGAGATATGATTTGTGTATTATAAAATTCACTAAAAGTATACAATTAAGTGGCTTCTAGTACATTCATAAAGTCATGCAATCATCACCATGATTTATTACCAGGACATTCTCATCACCTCCCCAAAAACCCCCACATCCATCAGTGGTCACTTCCCATTCCCTCCTCCCTGGGACCCTGACAACCCCACGAATCCGCTTTCTGTCCTTACAGATGGCCTATTCCATACCTTTTGTGCCTGGCTGCTTTTCCTTAGCATTCATCCAAGCTGTAGCATGTGCCAGTATTTCATCCCTTTTTACGGCTGAGTGACATTCCATTGCATTCTGTTTATCCATTCTCCAGTTGCTGGACTTTGGGGTTGTTTTCTACCTTTTGGCTCTTGTGACTAATGCTGCTTCGAACATTGTGTACAAGATTTTTGTGTGAACATGTGTCTTTAATTCTCTTGAGTATAAGACTAGGAGTGGAATTGCTGGGTCTATGGTAACTACAGATTTAACTTTCTGAGGAACTGCCAAACCCACCATCTGATTGTGAAATGAACAAGCCAAGGGAGAGGGCACAGAGAATCTTAACTACATCTGCCTAGATTCAGAACGTCAGCATAAAGAAGGCCCAAGAGGACAAATCCTAACTGTCCAGCAACTCCAAATAATTTTCCCTCCCCCCACCTCAACACACATATACACAATCTGGTTTACACTCAAATTTTCTCAATAAATCCTGTTTCCTCTGCCAAGGATACCCAGCCTGATCCCAAAGGGATTCTTCTCTAATAAGACAGACAAGAAGCTTTTAAGAATCAACTGAAAGAAGAGGAAGTTTTATGCCAAAGCTATTGAGAGGTCACGCCTCAGTAGATGTACAGCAGGAACATCTACTGCGGGCTCTGATCAGAACAAGGATGTCCCCTTAGCATTGCTTCATAGAGATTACAAATAAAATGCACAGCTTTTTGAGTCATCCCCAGCTACACCAAAGGTAGATTTCCACACCATGTTTACAGAGTGGCTGTCCTGGATAAGAGGGCCACTGGAGTGTGACTCAAAAGCACCACGAAGTCCCCTCTCCACCTGGGGTGGGGTGGGGGAGAGAGGAGTGGGCTGCCTCCCTCACTGGACACCAGGGACCAGGCTGAAAGTGGGCATTCCATGGCCAGCCTCCCACCCAACCCAGGGAACACATGCTGAATATACTCCAAAAAAGACCAATTTCTGAAAGGGGCTCAAAATCTAAACAGGGGACTGTCCTTTCCTGCCACAGGAGAGGGCAGCTCTAGGCAGACAGACTCATTCGAGTGTCACATACAGTCCTGTACAGAAAACTTTCACCATGAAACTTGTTCATCCTCCTGGGAACCAGTCACTTTGTGGTTCCCTGAACACCCCGAGGTCTGTTCATGCCTGTCTAGGCCCTGGCTTCCTCATTTCACCACCAGACGATCAGACTGGCCCTGGAGTACCTTCATTCTGCCCAGTGGCATGGCGAAACCCCTGGGTGGTCCTGAACAAGGCCCAGCCCAACTAGGCCTCGGTCTCCTTCCCCGAAATGGAGGCCTTCCAGTTGTGGGGTTACACACAGTGCTCCTCACAGGGCTCCTCTCTAGGTGCTGGCATGAGGGCAGGCGGGAGACTGAGAGCTTGGAACGTATCTGTGCGCGCATATCTATCAGCTCTCAACCACCGCGCCCTGCCCCACCACCCTTCCCCTGCCCCACCTCACCGTTCATCGGAACGTCAAAGTAACTTGTTGGAGGGGAGGGCGGGTGCGTTCAGTGGGTGGCGGTGGAGAAAGCACAGCACCACGCACTAAAAGTAGCTTCCGGTGGGTTTCAGGCGTCCTGGACTTCCCCAGCCCCATCTGAGTTCAGGGACTTCTGGCCTTTGTCCGCATGGAACCTGGGGTTTCGTGGAGGGGACCTCCTAAGTGCACCCCGGAGCCTACAGCACTGGGGTAACCGCAGGTAATTTCCCTCCTAGAGACAGAGGCTTTCCCCCTGCCCCGTGACACCAGCTTCCATCCAGCGGCGGCCCTCGGAGCACTCCCAGGATTGGGGCGGGGAGCGCGCAGAGCGGGGACGCCTTACCCGGACGGACTTAGCGGGGAACTGGGCGCGCGGACGCGGAGGGGGGAGCTTGCCCTGCCCACGCCGGGAATAAACCTCTCCGTTTTGGGTTTTGAGGGACGCGGGGTGGTGCAGGCCTGAGCCCTGTCTCCTAATCGACCGCCCTCTCCTTCTAAAGCCACAATTCCAGTGCTCTGACTTGTCGACGCAGTCCGGTTGCGTCTCCCCGGCCCCAGCGAGCCCCACTGCCGGGCAGACGACTGTGGGACCCTGCGGACGCGGGGTCCCGAGAGCGCACCGCTCACCTGCCGGTCGCCTCCTGCCGCCGCTGCGGCTCCGGCCCGCAGCTCCTTGGCTGCCGCGGGCCCAGGCCCTCCCGGACTAGCGTGACTGAGCGCGCTCCGTCCTGACCGCCGGGTGGCTACGCCCCCAGCGGGTTCCCCGGGAACTGCAGCCACCGCGGTGCCAGCCCGCCCCTCCAGGAGGCGGGGGATGCCCTGGACTGCGAGCCCGCTGCCCCAACTGGTCAAACAGTTGACCCCGAAGGCCGACGCCGCCCCGGCCCTGCACGAGCCCCTAGCAGCCAGCAACGGCTTCCCGGACAGCTCAAGTTCCGTCCGACTTTCTGCTAGACAGACGCCTTTAAAGCGCAGGCTCCCCGGCCCTGGCTATGCCACCTTGGGCAGATTACCAACCTCCAGCCTTTATGCATATAAGTAATAATTCCGTTCCCAGTTGGGCACTCATTGAATGCCTGACACTGGGGGATAAAATGGAGAACAAAATAGTCCCGGTTTCTGCTTTCCATCCAGGTAATAGTCTGGGGAAAGGCAGGTATCAAACTAACAAGAAGATTTATCACCAATTGCAGTAAGAAAAATTGGGGGCAAAGGAAGGGTGCCAAGGCCTCTCTGCAAGGATGAGAAGGAATTAGCCTTGGGCAGAGAGGAGACTAGTGTGCTCTTAGTGTGCAAAGATGCAGAGGCAGGACAAAGATGAGAGCAGGGACATTGCAGAGGCAGCCAGAGCACACAGTGGCCAAAGTGGTACAGAACACAGTGGCCAAGTGTGGGCAGGGTGGACAGACCTCCAGGCCTTGGTGAAGACTGTCCCTATCATCCCACAGGTAATGGGATGCCACTGCAGGCCTTCAAGCAGAGGAGTGACAGGTCTGAGTTCCATTCTATGGTGAAAGGGTGGAATGGGAGGGCTGCCTGAAATGGGAAGAACTAGTGAGAGACGTAGTCCAGGGAGAAAAAGGATCTTCAAGTAGGATCTGCAGAGAAATGGGTAGATTCAAGCTACCACCTGACAGTAGGGTCAGGCTAATTTGGTAACAGATAAGCCATCTTCATCTATTTAATGCAAATATTAGCACTTACCCTATGATTCATGGATGAGATTCAATGAGATCATGTATGTGAATTGTTTCAACATGGTACCTGACACACAGGAGCAACAAATACACTGCGGCCAAATATTGCAGTATTTATGGGCAGGTTAGCTTGCTCAAGGCTATGCAGTACATTGGCAGCTTCCTGGCTCCCAGCCCAGTGCTATTGTAAATACTGCCAATTGCCTTCCCAGTTCTCTTGAAATGTTCACACTAGAAGTGTCCTGTTCAGTACCTTTTCCAAAAGCTGCAGTCAAAGACATTGTAGCCACTACCCCTGGTAAAGGGAATAATGTCATCAATTTCATCTGGAAGACATCTGTGCCCAGAATGATCTTGAGCTGAGAGGGAAGCTGGTGTCCGCCCATGAGCATCCCACCCTTGTTATTAGCCCACCCAGCCCAAGCTCTACCTTCCTTGGGAATCCTTGCCTTCTCCTATTCTGGCTAGCACCCTGCCCCATGAATGCAGGCTGAAGGAGGGAATATAGTCAGAGGCGTGGGAGTCTCACCTCCTTCCTTCAGCCCCCAGAACCACAGACAAGCAACCATGCCCAAGTGTGGGTACAGAGTGCCGGTGACCCTGCCCATCCTAATCCTGCCCCACAGGGCACAGCCAGAGAGCCCAGGTTGTGAGCAGCAGGCCTTCCATTTGTCCTAGACTTTGCACATTTCCCAGTAGCTTTTATCTCCTTTTTTCCCTCCTGAAACACATGCAGGAAAGTAGGGCAGGAGTTAAACTCTGACTGAAGAATGCAACGACCTTTGACCAGCTCTTTGGGGCAGAGACCTTGCTTTGAGGACTCTGGCACTGACCCCAGCACCTGGTTCCTTAGGAGTTCACTAATGTTTATTTAAATGAATTATTTTTTTAAATTAAGGTATAATTCACATACTGTAAAATTCAGTCCTCTAAGTGTATAATTTAGTGGTATGAAGGTTGCCCAGCTATCACTACTACTTAGCTCTGGGACATTTCCATCACTCCAAAGAAACCCCATGTATATTAGCAGTCTCTCTGCTCCTCCCTCCACCTAGTCCCCTGATAACCAGGATGATCCATATGAAACAGTCCTACCAGTACTCTTAGAAAAACAATAGCTAATATTTATTGAACACAAGCTGAGTGCTTTGGATAGCTTCTCAAATGTACTTTTCACATGGGTTCTCCAAGGTAACTTTAATAAAAGATTAATAAAAATACATTGAGGATAATGGAACCATGTTTCTGACAGAAGGGAGGTACAAACATGAAAGAGGAGAGCCAGAATGAACCTTATAGAACTGAATTCAAATTGGAACTATTCCTGTTAACTCATGGCTTAGGAGGGGGTAAATAGAAAGATAGCCACCCAAACTCTGCCCCCAGTAGGGGGTCCCATGTGAAGACAGCAAAGGCTTTGCAGGGAGAAAACTTCCTATCTAGATCAGGCCAAACCGGTCCCAACCAGATCCCAAGGTGGGCATAACCAGGACAGAACTGCCCAAACCACAGGTCATGGTGGGAAAGGACATGCTCACTGAGAGGGATGAGCCTGTGAATCAAATAATCCCCACCTAGCCAGTCAAAGAGGTGCCTCCTAGCCAGAATGTAACATAAAGATCCCCCAACTAATGGATCAGGGCCTTTGTCTACCTTGACTGTGGCCCACTCCTCGCTTGGAGTATATTGAAATAAAAACTTATGCTCTGCTTTGCTATTTTGTCTCCGCCTCTCACTTCTTTGTTATGATGGAGACAAGATCCGAGGAGTACAAACTCAGCCCAGTAACCAGGAGATACCAAGGGAACACAAAACTAGTGTGAAGGACCTCTCACCAGCCAGTATTGGACAATTTGAGCATCAAAATAAATAATAATAATGATAGATTATAATCCATTGGATAAAATATGAATCTCCTAGGTGGAAAAATAAACGTGAGCAGGTGAAGGGAGAATAAGGCCAGAAAAGCCCACTGAAAGGGACTCAAAAGAGTTAACCAGATAAAACTCGAGAGCCAGAAAGGACTCCAGAGTTAATGAGTTAATCAGCTGAAGCTCCAAAGGTCAGAACTTGGAAAGTCCAGATATTCCCCACATAAAGAAAAGTATCTGAGCACAGCCCAGTGCCTTCATTGTATCTATTAGATCATGCCATTGTAAAATTTACTTTAGCCTACTGAAAGGCCCAGCTTATTCTTTAATTTAACCTATATGCTGTGTTTTCCTCTTTCTACAGCTCTTTATTCAAGTAACTTTGTAACCAGGGCAGGAGACAGACTTAGAAGTGTAAATAAACCTATGTGGACAAAGAATGCTGATGTCCCAAACCAACATAGTGACCTAAGTTATGAATCACCTGTATACATCATGCTTTATGCTGACCCTTACCCAAAAAGGCCCTATAAAACCCCAGACCCCAAACCCTTAAGCACACCTCCTCTGAGGTTGCTCACACTCCCCTTTCTTTGAGTGTGTCACTCTGTCCTACTTCAGATAAGTAGGGAGAGGCTGCTGAGAGTTCTGATTTGGGCTTGCAAGTGCTGGTCACCTGGGTGACCCAGACGGGACTGCAGCTATTCAATCATGCTCCTTAGAAGTCTGCCTGAAAATTTCTTTTCTTTGCCTTTGGAATTCTCAGAACATAATCTCACTCCATCCAGTGCTCTGAGGCTCCCCCCAATCCTGGAGTGGTGGGGAGTAGGTCCCACACTGTGCAGATCCAAGCCGACACTGGATGCCAGGTGATGCGGGCTTTAGGAGTTGGCAAGGGATTATGCCCTTATGCTGGGTAGCAGTTCAATGAGCTGCTTTTTCCTCTCTCTATTTTTCCTTACTCTCTGCTTTATTCAGGTAAACCTTCCTTTGCCTGTTTTGACTCTAGCCCACTCCTCCTTTGGAGTGTAATCAAATAAACCTGCCTTTGGAGTGTAATCAAATAAACCTTGACTCTGGTCCACTCCTCTCTTGAAGTGCATTCAAATAAATCTTTTACTTTACTTCACTACTGTGTCTCTGCCCTTCAGGTCTTTGTTGCAGCAGGGACAAGAACCAAGGAAAATAAACTCAACTTTCCCAACATATCCACAAAGAATACTTATCAATTACAAAGAAAAAAAGGAACTTTAGAGTGGGGAAACCTAGCAGGTACCATCTTACTCAAATTATCAACATTATCATCTGTAGGGGGACAAATCAACACTGTACACCACTCAGTAGGACACAATGATAAGAAGACTGCTTCACTAATATAGCCCAGCTAAAGATCCATATCCTGAATCTAATCAAGAGAAAGTATGGACAAACCCAAGCTAAGGCACATTCTATGAAATGACTGCCCTATTATCTTCTGGAAGGTCAAGGGCATCAAATGCAAGGAAAGACTGAGGTGCTGAAAGTCAAGGGGGGACATAGCCATAGCAAGTGGGTGCAACTCATGATCCCAGATTAGATCTTTTTGTATTAAAGAACATCTCTGGGGCATTTGGCAAGAAGGGAATGCGGTTGTCTGGGTGAAAGGTGTATGGGCATTCTTGCAGCTTTTTTTAAGTTTGAAATTATTTAAATAAAATTATTTTTTAAAATTAAGAAAGAATATATTCTCCTCTCTCTCTTCCCCCATCACTAGCCAAGTATAGAGGACCCAGCAGAGGACTCTGAGGTCCCAGACTCAATGACAGCCACGAGAGGGAGGAGCCTGGGTCCCTCACCCATTACTGCTCCCTTCTTTCCCACCAGTACACTACTTTGGACTTGACATGAGTAATAAACTTCCGCTGTCTTCAGCCACTGAGATGGGAGAAGGGGAATCTTTCACTGCATGATCCTAACTCATCCACTTATTCAACACCTGCTGTTCCTGTCTACCTGAGGTCCCAAAGACACCCCAAGGAAATACCTTGTCCCTAAATGTGTCAGCCACTGATCATCACCTCACCAGAATCCAGGCACCATCAGGCCTGTCTCTCTCTCTGCCCTGCCCACGTCGGTCAGTCCCTTTTCTGCCACAGCGTGCTCTTCTCCATGCCCACCAGTCCTGTTGTAGCCGAATCTCCCTCACCAGGGCCACCAGGGTTCTCCAGCCTCTGATCTTTTCCCTTTTCAGTTTTCTCTCCACTTGGCAGTGCCGGACATGTACGTGGTTTCACTTAGTTGTCCCAGCTCCTATAGCTCTTATCCTACAACACCATCCCTACTTTCAGTCTGCTGGGTGAACACCTGTCCTTCTAGGCTTGCAACTCACGAGTCACCTTGATGAAGCCTTGCCTGATCCAGCCTCCCTGAGCCCCTGGACAGTCTTCAATTTGGCCAGGACAGAGCCGCCCTGCTCGTGCACTAATGGGCTCACATACCATAACAGCCTGAGCTCCTTAGTACCCCCACATTCTGGAATAAATCTTCCCTCTCCCTTCCCAGAAAAGTCATACCTCAGCCATAACCTCTGCCTCCATTAGTCTACAGTGGAGTTTTTCTTAAGCTAATTTTGCCCTCTTGACCCATTTCTAATCTGCAAAGGGAAGAACCATCACAGAAGTGTTTTATGGTTGCCCAGAGGCGGCACTCAGCAAATAGGTGCTAGAAACGAAGTACTCCCAGTGATTCTCTCTGCTTAGAATTACCCCCAAGTCATCCCCACTGGCATTCAACCTATCAATGATTGAACCATCATTTCTTCAGGGCCTGCAGGTGCAAGGCCCTGGGCACACAGTGTATGTTTCTAATGTACAGGGCTGGTCTTAGCTCCTAGGGCCTCATTTACTTTTGAATTCCCCAGCTCCCACTCACCCTAGGGCCTAGCACATCCCAGGCACTCTGCAAACACTTCCTGCTGGGCCAGGACCACCATCTTCCAGAATCTGCAAGCCCCACGCAGCGCTGACTGGCACTATGACCAGCTATCAGGACAAGTCTGGCTCCAAACTATCACCTAAGATCAGACCCTGCCAAGAAAGCAGGACAGAAGAGATGTATTTCTGTGCCTGGTGCTTTTCTATTCCTGATTCAACCCCCACAAAGAAAGAAAAGAATCTGATATATAGAAGTATAGAGGTTCTTCCATATGTCCTATTTATTCCCAAACCTCAACCAGACACATTCTACCCAACAGCCCTGAGGCCCATTTCATGGGCTGGAAAATGAAGGCACAGTGTCAGAATGCCCCTGTAGACCAGCAACCCCTGACATGACCCAGGAGTCCGGACTCTCGGGGCTGCCCCTCCCTGTAGGTCTAATAGAACAAGATGCTCTTTGCCTTGTCTCTGGACTTCACAGCTGGCCTTCTCTGCGGAGGTTTTCTGAATAGCCCCCAAGCCCAGTGAAGCAGCTGCTCCAGACCACCAGCAGCCATCAGGAGATGGAACAGATTAGAAACCAGGGCCAGCCCTGCCTTCCAGCCAGTATGTGCCTGTCAGAACCAGGGCTGTGGTGCAGTTGTACTGGGCTCCCCAGAAGGGGACATAACAACAGCTGAGTCTACTACCAGGGGCAGAGAGAGTAGGGGCTCAGGAAATGCCCTGAAACAGGCTGCTAGGTTGGAGACACAAAGAGAAGTTTGATGCAGACTCCAGAGCTGAACCAGATGGGTGGTGAAGGGGAGGCAGCCCAGCTGGGGTGTGCCATGCCAGGGTCTTGAGACTTCCAGCCTTGGCACTGCCTGGGCATAAAATGGTTGTTCTTCTTTCCAGAGGAGCAACACAGCCTCAAAGCTTACTCCGTGGAGCCTCTGCCAGGGGCCGCTGCAGCCGCCACACCACCCTCACTGGCTCGGTGGCCTGGTCCAGCTCGCGGAGGCTGCCCAGGTCGCCCGTCTGGCTGTACCGCTGCAGGGCTGGCTGGAGCACTGTGATGGGAATGCTGAAGTTCAGGTGGGGGTAGGTGGCCCCTGTGTTATTGTCCCGGGTGTTGCTAGCAACGATGCCTGTTGAGGAGGCAGAGAGGAAAAGAGGGTGTGAGCCAGATGAGAAGGGAGGGCCATCACCATCCCGTAGGCCCTAGAACACTTGGGAGCTTGGAGCCACCTCACAGGGACAGTTGCTGTGTTCCCTTCATGGATGCTGGATCCCCACACCCAAGTCCCCCCTCCCAGCTTTACTTTCTCCTTAATACTATCAGTGTCTAACACATACGATTCACTTAATTTGTTATCTTTCTCTCCAACTAGCATCAGCTCCATGACAGGGCTTTTGCGTTTTGTCCATGCAGTCTCCCCAGCACCTAGCACCGAGTGGGCCCTCAACAAGCACTGCTAAGGAATGAATAAATGCATCAGACCCACAGACAAGTTCTTCTCGGCCTGCTCAGTGTATGTGTCTGCATGTACATACCTTGTTTTCAGACAATCTCAGACTTACAGAAGCATTGCCAAAATGGTATATAGAGTTCCTACACACCTTTCATCCAGCTTTTCCTTATGTCACCATAAAACCAAGAAATTCACTTTGGGACACTGCTATTAACTAAAGTACAGAACTCATTTGGACTTCCCCAGGGTTCCCATTCATGCTTTTTGTCCCAGGATCCAATTCAGGGTCCCACACAGCATTTAGTTGTCACGTGTCCTAAGTTTCCTCCAATCTGGATCGCTTCTCCGGTCTTTCCTTGTCTTTCATGGCCTTGCCACTTTGAGGAGTACAGGTCAGTTATTCTGCAGAATGTCCCTCCATCTGGATTTTCTCACGGTAAGGTTCAACTTATATAATACTGAGGAGAGTACCACAGAAGCAACATGTCCTCAGCACATCACATTGGGAGGTATATGAGGTCTTTAAGCATTACTTGTGACATTAACCTTGCTCACTTGGCTAAGGTAGAATCTGCCAGATTTCTCTACTGCAGACTTACTATTTTCCCCTTTGTAAGTCCTAAATATTTTTGGATTATGCAAGTATCTTCTACTTAAACTTTAGGATCCACCGGTAGGTCCTATCTGTAGCAATTCCTACTGTGGTGACCTAACAGTGATTTTCTATTTCCCTCATTTCTTCTATACTTATTAATTGGAATTCTTCTGAAAGGAAGAGCTTTCACTTGTCTCCATTTTAAAATGTATTATTCACTCGTATGTTTATATCAGTGTGGACATGCAGTCATCCTTTTCTTTGGGTAGCAATCTAACATTATTGCTACTTGTTTTGCAGCTCAAGTTTGTTCAAATGGGAGCTTCTTAACGTTGGCTCTTGGTTCTTTCAGCAACTGACATGCTTAAAACCTTGCTGTTGTTATTGGTAGCATCTCCTTCCTTTACAACATCCCAAGGAGCTCCAGGTTCATCTTGAATTTTCCCTGTCCCAGCCCTGGAATCAATAAGTTTCTAGTTCCTTTATTAGAGAATGGCTCTTAGAAACCAAGACCTAGGCTCTCGTTGTGCTCACTGCAACTGTGGTGTCTCTGCATCGAGCCCCTCTCAGCATACAGAGCTAGGAGATACATGTATCTGTATATATACATATATATTTAAAAGCCAACCAGTATATGGGGGGAAAATGGAATGCAGACTATGATAAATGGATCTAACTGTACCACCCATGAAACACACAACCACACTAAAGGGGAAGAAGAGAGGAGCTGACCTAAGAACCTTCAGGAAACAGTGTTTTGAATGGACACATTAATGTTAAAGACAAAAAGAAGTGTACACACCCAAACACTGTACTCTAGATGGTAAATGTGATTCTCACAGGGGTGTGGGTTAGGAATATGAAAGTACTTAATTTGTATAATCTAGTTGAAGAAGTAAGTAACTCCCATTGTAGCTAGCAAGAGCAAGACAAGGCTTCTCACTACAGGAGAAAGCAGCCAGAAATAAGAGAAGAAGGACCTTTTGTGCTGGACTGCAGCTGGAGGTGTCCATATAGACTCACAGTTGGCCTTTTTTTTTTCTAATAAACTGGTTTAAGACCTGAATTACCAACAAATTTTAATTGAATGACTTAACAACCACACATAAAAGAAGGCAGAGGGGGAGGCTCACGGCTTCTTATGAAAAACTGGAGAATCAGCCAGCATTAGGCCCACAGAGGCACAATGTGCTGGAGCTGAATGTTCACCCTAGTTCAGCCTTGACCCTCTACTCCCTGCTGTCTTTGCTTACTCATTCACTCACTTTACCTGGCCAGCCTCTGCAGGCTTTTGAGTTTGCAACCCTTGAGCTAATCCACTCCTGAGTTTCACAGGTCAAATTAAGATTGGCTTACCTAAAGTGGTGCAGTGTCTTAGTGAAAGAGAAGGGACCAGAACTCGGATCTCTTCCCTCCTAGCTCAGCATCCACCCCATTCCAACCTCAGGAGCACACAGCCTGAACACCACAGCTACTACTTCCCAGGCATAATAAGGCCCACTACTTTCCAAAGGTGGCTTCCAGAAGGTGGCTCCTAGGTCTGGTCACTGAGCATTCACTGGAAGGGGCTGAGGCTCTAGCAAAGGGAAGAAGGCTGGGAGAGGGTCAAGGAATTAGTTACCCAGAAGATCCCCTGAGCTGGTGGAGAAGAGGGGTCCCCCACTGGAGCCACCATGCACGGCACACGTGGTCTGGAGCATCACTGGTGTATTATCCACCTGCACCACAGCCGATAAGATGCCTGAGGTCACTGAGGGCCCGCAGGCCTGGCCGAAGACACCGAAGCCCACCACACTGACAGTCTCACCTGCCAGGGAGGGAAGCAGGGTGAAGTGGGGGAGCCTCCTCTAACAGGACTCGCGTTCCCTAACCCCATCCCTGCCCTCTCAAACTTCCAAACCCTCTCTGCCCTTTGAGTTTCCACTCAGATCCTCCTGCCCCCAGAGAGCTTTCCAGAGCTCCCCACAAGAAGAGGAGAGGACCTCCACTGAGCTCCCGGCACTGGATCTGCTAACCACTCAGCATCAGGCTGTTCTCCAGCCCTCATTCCCCTGCTGCACAGGGGAGTCACTTTTTAGGGTTCCTAGCCACTAGCCAGGTGCTCAGTAAAGGTCTGTGGAATTAACATCCATCTCCTCTTGGGACTATGAAGTCTCTTGGTGAAAAAAAAAAAAAAGGTAAGGATTACAAAGCAGCCACCAACCCCATTTACCAAGTGCTCTGAACACACAGGATATGGGCTAAGTGTTTTATAGGCAATATCTCACCCATTCTTCACAACACCTAGGAGTAGGCAGCATTAGCTCCATTTTACAGATATGGAAACTGAGGCAGCAACCATTACCTGCCCAAAGACACTGGGCTAGTAAGTGACAGAAGAGATGACAACGTGCAGTCTTTGTCATAACAGCACACTGCATCCACAAAGGCCTCTGCTACTTCTGTGGCAGTACCACAAAGCCTTTTACTCAAATAATGCCACTTTTCCTCCAAAGTGCAACACCTCTCTGACCAGCCTGCAATGTAAGCCCCAAGGCTTGGCACTTCCAAGGCCACAGGAAAGTAGCGTGCTTTTCCCTCTGCCAGGGATTCCACCTGCCCCCTCCCCCCCACGACCTTGGGCATGCTGGGCACAAGCAGGGAAGCCTCCAAGAGCAACTCCAGGTAACCAGGATGACTTTAGGCCAGCTTGACGCCACCCTGACTCCACCCTTACTTCAGCAGGGAGGGGGAAGGCAGCTGGCTTAGGGGACTGGCCCCCTCATCAACAGGGTTAGAGTACCCAACATTGCTTTTCCTTCCTGGGGTCTGCCCAGACCAGAAGGCCCTTTGTCCTTTACCTTCATGGAAATGCTCAGCAGGCACAGGTGTGGGGACACCGCCCAGGTCCTCCTCCAGGCTCACCACTGCTATGTCATAGGGAGATGTCTCCTGGGTGGCAAATACCACATGTCCCCAGATCGTAGCACTCCTGTGAGCAAGGGAAACAAAATGCAGGCTAGCTTTCTGATCTTTTAGCACTTAGAGGAAGCAAGATGAGTGACAGTAAAAGTTGTGGACTTGGGAGTCAAAAAACTCTAATGTCAGCCCTGAAATACAGTAGGCAGGCAACCCTGGGTGTGTCTTAGTTTTTCTATGGTGTTTCCAAACATGCTTTCCAATGTAGAGTACTTCTCTGTAATGCTTCCTGCACTTCACCATGATCATAAACACCTGACACCTAGTGAGCACTGTGGGCCAGGCCTGGTAATATGTTCTAGCATTTCATTTAGTCCTCACAGCAGCCCTGTGAACTATACATTGGCATTATCTACACTTTAGATAGTGCATTTGAGACCCAGAGAGATTGAGTAACTTCCCCAAGGTCCACAGTAAGTGGCCAGGGCAAACCAGTGTTTCCCTTCACTGCCTCATCTGATACCAACAATCCTGTCAGTTCATAGGGCATGATATGATTTCACCCCTCTCAGTCTCTGTTTACATAAATGCTAGGACTTCTATTGCTCTATGTGCCAGGCTCTGTTTCAGGATTATATGTCAGCTCATGCTGAGGCAACTTAGACAAATTAAGTGACTTGCCCAAGATCACACAGGGGCTTCCTGTTAACACACAGCAGGGGTAGCTTCCAGATCTGGTGGGTTCCCTAGGAGCAAAAGTATCGGGGGTGCAGAAACAGCAAGTAATTGGGAACCACATACACACACAAGAAAATTCTCATCATCAGTTTTCCATAAAGGCACAGCTGTCCTGTTGGCCAGCAAGGACCTCTATGACAAAGCCAGGCTGAGTTAACATCAAAAATTCAGTAGAGGGATTTAGAAGGGCCTGGGCCACAAGGCTAAGGCTGAGCTAGACACAGGACCAGAATTAACACCAAAGTGCTATATTGCTTTGGCCTAAGTTAAGTACCTGGGACTCCAGAGTGAAAGCAGAACATATACTAGAGAACCAAGCCAGGAGGCCCAAGACTGCTATCCCTACTATCAGAGAAAGTGGAAGGAAAGGAGGCCAACTGTGCTTTTTCCTGCAGAGAGGGAAAAAATGACCATCTGCTGTCCCAGCCTGGTTCCAGATCACCCGAAGATTCTTCAAAACATATCTATTTGCCCAGGCCCCACTCCCATATTCTAACTGGTAAAACCCCACATCCGTAATTTTGATCCAGCCTGTAAGTTCTGGTTAAGATCTAAGAGATCAAGTAACAGTTCCCTTTTATTAGGCCAACAGGGCAGCACCCTGGGTCCCTGGGACTTCACTACCACTTTCAGGGAAGAGAGGACAGGGTTAGGAGGTCTCCTCTCAAAGGACTTAGAGGTGTGTGGGTGCAAGACTGTGAGACAGAGAAATGGCCCAAAAGGAATCCAGACTGGGAGGTGGAGCTCCACAGTCCAGGATGCTGGGATGCCCCAGAGATCCCAAATCTGGTGTTTCCTGTTATCTTGCCCAAGCCCCATTCACCCCCTACCAGAGGCCCTGAAACCCCCCACCTCCCGCACTGGGGCCTCCGGGAGCCAAAGATGAGGAGAGGGTCCCAGGTCTCTATGTGCACTACACTACTAAAGCATCAGCTTGACACCAGAAGGCCTCCCTAACCCTCAGGATTATGACCTGAGGCCCAGACTTGAGACCTGGTGAGGGGGCAGAGTGGGGGCAACCTTGGGGGCCTTACTTGGCGGAGGCGGAGCGCACCAAGACCCTAGCAGCCTCCCGAGGGGCCACATGCCGGCAGGTCACTACGAGGTGGGGTGCCACAGCCACTCCTGACCCCCATATAGTGCCACACTCCACTAGCACCGCCGTGGCTGCCCAAAGGGGCCCGGGGTCTCGGAGAGGCACACCCCATGGGGCACCCAGCTCCTGAGGCAGGAGGGCGGCCAGGGCAGCGGTATCGGGGCGCAGGCGGCCGAGTGCGGCTCTGGCGGCACGGAGCAGAGGGGCTGCAGCGCACAGCAGCGTAAGGCCCACCCATTCGCGGGCCTTCCAGCAGAGGGGCGCCGCCACGAGGGCCACGAGCGCCCCGGCGGGCCGGGCCGCAAACACTCCGCCGCCCTCGGTGCCCGGCAGGCAGCGCGCGTCGGTGAGCAGCAGCGGGCCGGTCGCGTTGCTGAGCACTCCGCGGCTGAGCGTGTTGAGAAAGATGTCCGGGCAGAAGGTCCCGAACGGAGAGCCGCAGGCCAGCAGCGGCGCGCCCTTGGGCACGGCCCCGAGAGGCGCCACGGCCACGGCCGGCCCGCACTCCTCGGCCGCCTCCTCCGGGCCGCGCTGCACGCGCAGCAGAGCGAACCAGCCCAGCGCTCTCAGTTGATCCTCCTCGTCGTCTTCCGACACCTCCTCGTCTGACACCGCGCTTGCGAAGCGCCACTGTTCGGCTGCCTCGCCCCCGAAGAGGAGCGCGAAGTGGGCCCGGAAGGCCGGGCAGCTCAGCAGCAGCAGCAGCTCTGCGGGGCGCGGGGGCCGCAGCGGCCGCCCGCGGGCCGGGCTGGGCGGGCCGGGCTCCAGGCCGGCGCACTGGGGCGAGCACAGCCCGCGGCGGCCCCGCTCCGCGCGGCCTGCGGGACTCACGGCCGTTGGGCCCCACTGCACTCTCAGGCGCAGGTCGTCTCCGCAGCTGCCCCCGGGCAGGAAGGCGGCGCCGGCCGCAGTCAGCACGCTGCTGCCAGCCCGCAGGAAGGGGGTGAAGATGCCCCCATGGCACAGCACCAGGCCAGGGCTGCGGCTCAGGATCACCCCGCTGCAGCTCCACGGGCCCGCCTCGGGCTGCCCGGCCCGGGAAGCGCTCACCACACAGCCCGCCTGCTCGGCTGCCCTTGTGGCGGGCCCCCACTGTCGCCCCATGGCCTCCGGAGAAGCGTACCGGGGCTTCCCCGAGAACTAGGAAACGAGCGGGAGCCCTGACCGAGGCTGGCAGAGCCCACGCAGAGCCACCGAGCCGTAAGCAGGAGGTGCTGGCACTGACTCAGGCCTTCCTCGTGCTCCCGATTGGCCGGGCTTGGGGCCGAGCCCTGATTGGCTGCTGCGGCTGACCGCCCACCCTTACCCACACCCTCACCCTCTCGCCGTTTTTCCAGGCCACCTGCGGGACGGAGAGAGCGGAGCAGCCCGGAGGCTGACCTGGGAGAGCTGTCGTGTGGCTTTACTGGGAGATGGGGCGGTGGGGGAACAAAGGGAGACCTTTGTTCGTTGGTCTGCAGCAAATAGAAGTGAGCGCCGACGTGGCTAGAACTTACCCAGGCCTTGACAGAACCTGTCCGCTTCCGTCCGGGTCAATTGGCCTCTGACCCCTGGGACATCGACACAAAGAAATCCTTGGCAAATTCAGTTTGAAATTTCTTGAGTAAACCCTACATCAGTCCACCAGGGGGCACTTGGCTCACAAGATAACATCTTGGGCCCTTTTATGCCAATGCCCCACACATCTCAGGGAAACTGGGCTTGCTTAAAATTTAAAAAGTGCACTTTAAAACTGATGAGCAGCTGAAGTCAAAGTTTTAGTTAAACAACACTGCATTTTGGAGTTTGCACACTGCACAAAATGACATGACCATCACCCAGGACTTATCTAGGTCAGGGGCCAAATTCATTTTCCGTAAAGGGCCCGGCACAGTTCAGATTTTGAGGACCATACACAAATACTCAACTCTGCAGTTGTAATATGCAAAAGCTAAAGGAATGGCGTGGCTGTGTCCAATAAAACTTGATGGATATTGAAATTTAAATTTCATATAATTTTCATGTCACAAAATAGCATTCTTTTTTCTCACAGGTCACACAAAAACAGGCAATAGGTCAGACTTGGACAGGCCATGAACCATACTTTGCCATCCTGATTTAAGCTAATATAAAACGTCCCTGCTTTTCCAAAGAAGCATCCCTAAGGTCAAAGCAGCAAGAACAAGTACAGTTTTTTTTTGCAGGAAGGGGAAGGGTGATTCAGGATATCCCTAAAGCAGTCAACACAAGCTAGACATTTTATGAAGCTCTTTTTATCACTATCACTAAAAATACACATTCATTTTTAATAAGATTATTTCATATGTCAATAATGAAAAAATACTAAATTACTACTTAAATACACAAACTCTGTCCCATTTTTGAGTAAAATCAATGCTGCTTGGTGGATCCCCAGCACAATACAGGGCAATCCCAAACAATGCTGCCAGAGGCACAAACCTGTTTAAGAATGGGAAACTATCCAGGATAGTATGAAGCAGGACTGAAGTTAGCAGTCTCTCATATTAGGCACTGTCCTAGTCTTGCCAACATGTTGATGAGATTTTGTTCAAGTCTGCCATGTCCATCCCATTGTAGAGACAAGCACCACTCCTGGGACCACTGCATGTTCCAAGGCTCTCCAACAGTACAACTTATTACTTCTAGTGTAGTATGTCAACTGGCCTAGCCTCTTCTTTCTTCCTGGCAGCAAAATTTGAAGTCTCTCACATCCACTGTATTTCTTCCCATAAGGAAGAACTTTTGCTCTCTGCTCCCCAACAATAAATGTCATATGTTCAAACTCATAATAAACCAATGCCAAAAAAAAAAAGGAATGAGATAACAAGTTTAACTTTTTATTAAAATGCTTAGGATACAGATTGACTGTCTTCTGTAAATGACTGAAATAGGACATAAATGCACTCTGATAAAACGGAATGAAAAGTATCAATTCATGGAGTTCTGTACAAAAGCTCTGATCTTCACTGTTAGGGGCCAAGCTCCTCACAGCAGCTTCTTTCCACCGTTTTACTATAGGAACAGTGTTTTCTGTGGGGCAAGAAATAGGCTAGTGCCAGCTGACTTTTGAATCTCCTCTTTCTCCAGTAGCCAAAATAAGCCACTTTCACAAAGAGCTGCCCTGTGTAGAATCCAGTTTTCTAGGCTGCTACAAAGTGATTAGGGACAAATAGGAAAAAGCACAAAACCAAGAAAACTAACTTGGAAGCCATCATACTTCTCATGTCTCTGGATAAAGAAGTATGGGTTACCTCTAGCCAAAGGAAATTAAGAGTATGCAAATTACCTACCTAGTTCATCCACCGTTAGATTTGTTCACTTAATGCTTTAACCCCTTTCCAAACTAAAAATTTTGTCTTAATTCAGCTATGCTTGCTAATGAATGAAAAGCATGCTCTTCCCAGGTTTATACTTCATTGAGCCTCTGCGTTTGGTGCCTTGCAGTGAAAAAGTCTGTTTTCCCAACAGGTCAGTACTGAAGACTAACAATGAGACATCCAACTAAAGAACAATACCCTCACCCCCAGAATGTTATCCACACTTCCCCTACCCTCACATTAGAAGCAAGAGTCCACTGAATTTAGTTCAATCCTCTGTAAATAAACACCATCATCACAATTTGCAAATTTGAGGAAATTCAATTTTGAGGAAATTACCTCTAATCTTCATTTAAAATGAAGACATACTCCCATCTTATCTCTTATTCTTTTATCTTTTACTACAAGGGTAGAATATTGGTTAAGATCATAAAATCCAATTTCAAACATGCATTAAGGAATGCTATAAAAATAATCCTTATCATACTACAGGGGGATTCTGAGGCTTTTATACTAGGTCCTTACTGACAAGTGATACTGGCTCAAAAGGAATACTCTACACAAAGATTTTGGACTAGAGTTTCTCCAGCTTATTTCTGGAATGAAGAAAGGCAACTGTATACCAAAAAAAAAAAAAAAAAAAACTGGAAAAGCTACAGATGTTAACCTTTACATACCAAAAAAAATTGATTTTCAATTAAAAAACAGAGCTCATAAACAGTCCGAGAGATCAAATTCTGCAAATGGAAACTTTAAAGCCCAGAGTAAATTTTTCCCCGATTCAAATTCCCCAAGTACCAAACTTCTAAGCTCTCAACTCAGAGGATTAAGAGCCCTTAAGCTATTAACTTTGTGACTTTCTTATTCAGAAAAATTTCCCCTAGAATCTGTGCAAAAGTAACCGAGACACACCTGCAGTATATGACAACATGGGAGATGTTCTCAAGTCTTATGAGGTGAAAGTCACTTTTATAACTAGAGATGAAAAAGATGCTGCAGGGAGAAATGAAGTTTCATGGCAGTATAAACGTAAAGAAATGTGTAACTGTATAAGTAAAATAACAGCAACAACAACCGAGTCCATAATTAACCCCCCTTCTCTGTGAACAATCCACTCTTAACACGCTCCGTGGTGTGGAACGACCCTAGCTTACCACAGTGGGAAACTGCTGCAACTGCAAGGCTAGGGTTCTGCCCTTCCCAAATTCTCTGTGCATGAGGCAGTGCCACCTATTACAGTGCAGGTGGAGAGACGGGAGCACTTCTCTCACCAACCTGCTCAGCAAGAGTAAGTTTACTTGACTGAGCTCTGGCCTCCAATGTGTGTGCATAATTTTATTATGAAGTATCTAAAAGCCATTCACTAAGTTAAAAAAAAAAGTATAGGAAACTCTGGACCAAGTAAATTGTGAACTTAGTTATTAGTTGGGACACCAATTACATTAACAACACTTTCTTTAAAAAATAGAATCACTTTCTTTTGAAATCAACCACAGTGGTGAGACGTGTTTTTCTTTTCAGGTGCCCCATGATGGCACACAGCTCTCCCCGGCAAATCCTGCCAGCTTCCAAGTCCCGGGATGCTGACCTGCACCAGCACATGGGGCAGCATTACCTCCCAACAGTGTGGAGAAGAGCACATGTCACCACTGGGCGATGAGAGAGCTGACAGAGACTCTTGGCTTCTCAACGCCACACATGGTTGGAGAGCTTTCCTTGTCCTATTAGAAAAGTTCATGAGGAAGCTGTGAATAGGATCAGTCCAGAGAAGTAAAACTCTTTATTTTCACTGTCCAAACATCAGTCAATATACTGGGAAAGCCAGCGGAAGCCCTCGCCGTAGCCTTGCCTCTTGAGCACACTGCACATGAACACTTCCATGGGACGGGCATTCAGCTCCTTCAGGGTCACGTTCCCCTAAGAAGGCAAAACCAAGAAAAGGCCTGTGAGTGTCTCCCCGGTGGGAAAGTTTGCAAGGGTGGTCACAAACATTACTTCCTCCATTTCTCAAAAGCAAATCTAGTAGGGATTAACCACAGTTATATAGGAGGGCTTCATGCTTTCAGGACAGAATAAGCTGCACAGTTCTACTTCCAGCTTATCTCTGTGAAGAGCTCTTTGAACACCCCAACATTTATCTGGAAAGTTATGACAGCAAGCCAACAAAAAGGCCCCTGGGACCCACAGAACCAGCAAACTCTTTAGTGAACAAAAGAAATCCGGGACTTTTTAGAAGTAAGGATCTCTCATTAACACAAACATTCAGAAACATACACTAGTAACAGGTTACATGGTAGAAATTAAGAATTCATGTGTGCGTCACACACATGGAGAAGAGGAGACACTAAATTAAAGGGAGCATTTTTAGAAATAGATAACCAAGAAGAGGCAAGACTAAGGCACCATATTTAACACTCAGAAAGTCATCACAGATCCCAGAAAAGGAAAAATTTTAAGATTAAATATGCCAAAACCCCAACTGAAAGACCAGGATTCCTATTTAATTATAGCTGATCTATAATTTCTCTCTCATAAGCACACTTTTCTACAATAGAATTCTCCTTCCAGCTACTGGGCTGGAACTCAGGTTCTATTCCTGGTTTTATCACTGCTGTACAGACCTGAACAAATCACTCTCAGAGTTTTCTCATCTTCAAAATGGGGATAACAGTCCTACCTCCCTCAGCAAGGAGCACTGAGGATAACCCAGTGCTCTGATTTGAATGCTTGATAAGTAACATAAAAAGTCACTCTTCATAACCTGAACTCCAGTCCAAAAAGCAGTGATTTTTGGCTAAGAAGGGCTCTTTTCAAGAGATTTCTGAAAACTGGATTTGAAAGATGGTTACAAAATTTTATAAATTTTAAGTCCACTTTTTCTGATTTCCTTCATCCTCACATTTCTGAGG